GTCTTTCTTCAGGGCATGTTTCACTTTTTAAGACTCTGTTTATCTATTGAGTAGGCCGCGTCTTATTTGTGGCACGTGGGTTTCTCTCTAATTGTGGTTCTCTGGCTTAGTTGCCCCCGTCACGTGGGATCTTAGCTCCCCGACCAGGGGTCACACCTGCATTCTCTGCTTTGGAGGATGGATTCTTAACCCCTGGACCACCGGGGGGGGGCCCCGCATTTCACTTTCTACCTGGCGTCAGAGTTAGTCATGTATCTGATCTGTCTCCTATGTTTGACTGTAGGATTTTTGAATTAAGGGAACGTTTTTATTCATCTTTGTGTTCCCAATAACACTTAGACCTGGACCTTTTAGAGAGTAGATGTTCACCAAATGAGTGAAGGGTTGAAGGAACAATTTGGTTTATGCAGAATTCCTCACAATTAGATATAAAGATAACTATTTTTCATTAGATTGGTTGAAGCTATGTAGGTTAGACTTAAAACTATCTGCACCTATTCTTGGATACCATAATGTTCTCACACTTGGTCAAAATGAAGTGTTGCATTTGAGTGGGAGTATAGAGACTATATTTGGATTTCATTTGTCACATTCATAGTCTTTGCATCACATGAAGAGCCTTTGTAAAATTCCATGCCTGTTGAGAAAACTCAGTAGCATTCTGTTCTTTTGTGGTGCTTGCATGGACACAAAAACCGAGGCCGTGTGGTCTGACAGTTCCCACAGTAAGTGTACATTTTAGCAGTAAATGGAAGGCAGAGAAGGCCCCCTGAACTTTTAGCTGTGTTTTTCAAAATGAAATGGCATATCTGATCACAACTTTATAATGAAGAATGTGAACACATTTTCCCATTTAGAATGTAATCTTTTTAACATGTCATTCTTGTGTAGGATGCTGAGATTTCTAATCTGTATCCTATGGAGCTAGATGCCTTAGAAAATCTATTTATCAAGCTTTTCAGCCTCCTTACATAAACTTCCATGATCTAAAATTTATGACACCTAAGCTGTTGTGACACTCTGTCTAACAAGAGGCTGAGGCTGCTCACTGTAATTGAAATGTTTTACTTTATTACTCTTGTGACAAAGGTCTAATTTCTCTGTGGTGATACCTGTCATTCCAAAACGGATAATGCATGATACAGTCACATCTGTGGGCCCTGTGTTCACAGTATAGCAAATGAGCTACTGTTGCTCATGAGGAACTAGTGTGGAAGTTCCTTGAGGGCAGGTATCATGAGCTCACTTTCTCAGGCATCTCCCATCATTGCATCTGGTTCAGTATTGGGCAAAGTATATGTCCAACAGTAGCTGTTCAACTCCTTAGCTTGATTTGCTTGTCCACGTTCTTTTCTTTTCTCTTGAATTTTAATTGACATACAGTGTTATAGTAGTTTCAAGTGTATACCATAATGATTCAATATTTTTGTACGTTACAAAATAATCACCATGATGTTTAGCTACCGTCTGCCACCATATAGAGTTATTAGAATATTACTGACGATATCTCTTAGGCTGTACATTGCACCTCTTGACTTATTTATTTTATAATTGGAAGTTTGTGCCTCCTAATCCCTTTCATCTATTTTGCCCATTTCCTCACCATTTTATCCTCTGACAGCCACTAACTTATATCTGTGAGTCTGTTTCTTAATTGCTTTGTTTGTTCTTTTTTTTTTTCCTCTTAAATTCCACATGTAAGTGAGATCATGTGATACTTGTCTTTCTCTGTCTGACTTATTTCACTTGCTTTATACCCTGTAGGTCTATCCATGTTGTCACAGATGGCAGGAGTTGATTCTTTTTTATGGAAGAGTCGTTTATAAGCTGAGTGACCTCAGGTCTGTTTGATGTCACTGGTCCTTGATCCTAGCACATCCCTCCCTCTTCAGCCCAGTAAAAATGGGATGCAGGAGACCTGGGTTCGATCCCTGGGTCAGGAAGATCCTCTGGAGGAGGGCATGGCAACCCGCTCCAGAATTCTTGCCTGGAGAACCCCATGGACAGAGGAGCCTGGTGGGCTACAGTCCATGGGGTCGCAAAGAGTCGGACACAACTGAGCAACTGATACTTTACTTTTTACTTTCCCTTTTGTCCAGTTTTAGAGCCTTAGAGTGTTAGTTGCCCATCTTCATTTACAGGGTGTTAAGTTTGAAATGCCTGCATATATTCATTTTATTCTGAACACAAACATGAGCTTTCTGGAGCCGAGCAGATCTGTTGTTTAATTACAGCAATAATTACTCTGATTCCTTTTTGCCCTAATTTGTACCCCTGGGGCAATGGATGAGATGAGGCAGATCACATGTTATCCTATATATACTGGAGTTTGTACCTTCAGCGAGAAAGTTGAAAAAAAAAAAGCTGGTTATTTGTATAGGAGAGGGACAGCCTCTTCCCTAACTCCACCTTATTGCCTGTCAGACACACACACACCTCTTTGCGCTTTGAGAAGGATCCTGGATTCTTACTGTTACCCTTTGGAATATAAATAAATCTCTTAGGGGAAAGATAAGATTAGCTTCTTTAGCTATGCTTCTGTGTCCTCAGATCTTATTCCTTCCTTAACATGTAAATACATACCGTTAGAGGGATGAATCTCTTCAGATACTCTCTCACTAATAATCAGTCATAAATTCTAAAATTTGTTCTTCTAGGCTAGGTCTCAAGTTTTGGTAAAATTTTATCAGAAAGCCTTCATGGTACAGAAACATAAAAGTATTGTCTCTACAGTCCCACTAAGCATGAATCTAAAATTAAAAGATAGAATCCTCTGCCTGCCAGGGCTGTGAGTCTATGATGATCAAGTCATTTGTGTAAGAATTTCACATGTTTGTGAAAATTCAGATTCCTGAGATCTACAGCAGACTGACTCAACAAGAGTCTCTGGGACAGAAGCCTTGGAATCTGCTTTTCTCTCCAGCTCTCCACGTGATTCTTATGCACCACAGCCTTTTTCTCCTTTATTCCTGGCTTAAGGATCCTTTGGTTTTCCTGCTGGCAGAGATACTTCATGTTCTGCAGCTTTTGCTATTGAGTCTGGTTTTCAGGACTTTCCAAACATGGAAAGAAATATAACAGTCTTGCTGGGAGAGTTTATGAGTATCATATAAAAATAAATACCAATATTAGCAAGCTTTCTTAAGATGATGATGAGTCTCTGAAATCTGAAGAGGTGATGGTGATGATAAAGATATTACCACTAGTAAACAACTGTTCATTAACCGAGACAGAATTTGAAATGGATTAGCTATGTTACCTAGATTTCTGTTTTACAAAAAATGCAAAGATGTGCCACCATTAGTGGTATTTTTCTATTCAAAATGTAGTTGAGACATTTTTGCTGTGTTTTTCTATGATGTCTGAAGTTCTTTTGTTGAAACACAACTCTGAAATGAATATAAAAAGAGGAAAATGAATGGAGTTAAAAATTTTTATTACAACTTCAGTGATGTGATTAGTCGTTCAGGTCAAAACTCATTGTAATAAAACTTTCTATCAAAAAGTAATTATCTTTAAGCTAGCACCAAAAATGATACAAACCCAAATGATGTAAGTGTATCATACATTGTTACTAGGCTACACTCAATCCATTTCTCTATATCAGGAACAAGACACTGACATTTAATATAAAGCATCTCAAATATGTGATAACATCTGACAGGTAATGAAGAAGTAGTCACATTATGAGTGCAGAATAGAACTGTGGCAGTGTTTCAACAGAGAAAGAAATGAGCGATAGTCTCTGGGAACATCTGTTTATCCTGTTAATCAACAACATTTTATTGAGCACCTATAAAGTGCTAAACACTGTGTTGGGTACTACAGATAAAAAATGACTTTCAGAGAGAGAGACGAGTGTTACCATGACTATGAGACAATGTGATATATACCACAATTTCTGCTATAAACATGGCTATATAGATGTAGCATCTTCCTGTTCTTTTCCTGAGAGTCTTTTAAGAGCAACAGGAAAACAGAACAAAAATGCAAACTCCAGTTTCAGTCGAGCTAGGAAATACATACCAGCATACCCCAGGGCTGCCCAAGGCAGTCAAGATAATGCAAGAATCCCACAGGGAGAAAAGGAGAGAAATGGAAGAAAGAGCCCAGCAATAGCACTTCTAAAGAGTCAACACAAATACACTTACTAAAGAAGGGTTCATCTGGAGATGGAAAATCTATAGCCTTTATCTGCAGTAGCTGGGAGGTAACGGGAACCTCACTGGACCTGCTTTGGTTCACAGAAGTGGATTGCACATGAAAGGACCCAACAAGCCATGTTTGCAGAAGATGAGGAAAGGAATTTCTCGGGGAGAGATGAGAAAAGATACTTTGCTTATGGAAAAAAAGAGAAAAACTCACGTAGACTCTTATCCTCCACCTACCCTTCCTATAGAAAATTCTGGCAAATAGATAGCCCGGGAAAACCAAACTCTTCTAATGATGTGTTTAAGATACTATGATAGCAGCTAGCTGTCTACAAACAAGAAAAGAATATCCCAGTAAGACATGAACATAACACCGTATAAATGTGGACGTCAGTTATGGGTCACAGGTAAGGGCCGCGTACCCTCAGCAATGCCTTGAGGCTCAGACCCAGGGCTCTGACCTGTGCAGAGCTGTTGCTAAAGGTCAAGGTTTGTTCCAGATGCTGGAGAAAACTGGAGAAAAAGGGTCTCCAGAGAGGGGAGATGAGGGCTGTGGAGACAACCTCTGATACCACGGCACCCTTGTATTGCTCGTAAGATGTTTTGCTTGCAATTGCTTGTAATTTTGCTTGTATTGCTTGTAATACTTCATTGGGATTATCTTGTACTATTCAGCCACTACCAATCATATACCGTTGCTGTATGTCTAAACCGAAAGGGACTCCTTAACCATTGGCAAGAGTGTGTGGGCTTGGCACTTCCTTTAAAAAATGAAGAACATTGAATTATTATATGCCAATTAAAAGTTGTTTTTACTTACATTTGTCTAATGATTTTTTTCCATAATAGCCTCCGTTTATACCAGTGAATAGGGTCACTGAGTTCACTAGCCCCTGCCAAACTTCAACATCTAAGGTGAGTAATTAAAGTGGGATTGAGTCATTTGTGACATTTCCCATATGAATGATAAGACTTACCAAGGGCCAAATGTCATCATGGTTTAATATGTTCAGAAAGTGAAGCACTCATATATATTTTTTCACCATCATCATTTTTTATTATAACAATACATGTTTATTAGGAAAAACTCAGAAAATAAAGTATAAATAAGAAAATTTAAACCACACATTGTCTTACTGCATGGAGATGATGACCGTTTTAGATATCTTAATGTATTTATAGTTATATCTTTCCAATATATTATTTATAATATATATGTTATATAAAATTATGCATATAAAATCAGACAGAGAGTGTGTATGTGAGTCTGTGGGTATATATTTACCGAGAAACATGTTCTATATGTAAATCCTACATTGTTTCTTAATGTTTGCTAAATGTCATATTACATTTTATTCCTCAAATGTTTGTTATTATCTAAAATTAAAAATTTTTGAACCTTCAGAGTTATATCAATCACACACAAAAATATTATGGAAAACTCTTTACAACTTTGGTTATTCAGATTTCTTAACAGGCAAATGGTGAGATTGTAAACCTCAACCAAATTTTAAGTTAATAGATAGCTGACCTACATGCACCAGGGATCCAAAAGCAGGAAAATCTCTGCTCAGGAGTAAGTCAGGAAGCACAGTGTATTACCAGTGTGGAGTCTTTTGCATCTTCAAGATCAGACTTCTTGACTCAGCCCAGCTCTGCTGAATCAAATTCTGAGTGAGCTGTTATAGCAGTATACCCCTGCCGAAGTTTATTTTCTAAGCTTCTGATTTTTAAAACTGTTGTTAGTCGTAAATATCACCTAATGTCATAAGATTATAAGCAAATAGTAATTAATCATAAATAAGCCAGCTACCCAAAATTAAAAGCATGTTCTTTGTTATTTAAGGGAAATAAGAAAATTCAGAGAACCAGACCTTCCGGTGATGACTTGAAGCATGAGTCTCTTTCATCCTTTGAGCTTCTGGGCAACCACAGCGGCTGGAAAAGAAACACAGAAGGATCGGACTCCAACGTAGAGGATATTTCAGAGACTAAAATTATGAAAAAGTCTAGTCAGAAGAACGTGAAACCTCAACAGGAGAGGTATCCAGCAGTTCCACTGGAAAGTGTCAAATTAGCTAGCAGAGACCAGGTGATTTTTTTTTTGTTACTTTTTCACAAAAGTCTATAGTAATTCACTTTTCCAGAAATAGCATTTTTTAAAGGTTTTGCTTCATTTCACACATTTAAAGCACTCTAATTATAGCATACACATTGTAATCTGTGTTCCCTGGACAAAGTCCCAATTTCTATTTTCTCCCTGCATTGTCTCTTTTGGAGGAAAAGTCAGATTGCTAATGTCAGCACTGAGGGGCTCCTAAAGAACACCTCTGTGGGATAAAGATTTTAATCTGTATTTAAGAGGGAAATATCCATGTAGGATAAACCTGTAATCTTCAGAATTTTGCCTTCAATGCTTTATAGCAAAAATGCTTGGTCAAATTTTACATAGGTAGTTATCCCTGTAGTCCAAGTTCTGGAAAAATAACATGTGATGTTGATAATGTAACGAAGTGCTGAGCTTGATTATAATGAACATAAACGTGCACCCTAGGATTTCCATGTATCTAAATGGGTTTGTTTCTTTTTTAAAAAAACATTACACTTTCATTCTTACAGTGTTGATGCTTATTTAATTCCTCTTTGAGTATCTGCCCTTAGGGTCAGTGTATAATAATAACAACACTTAAAACTGGGTGGGCATTTACCCTGTGCCCGATTCAGTATTCAGTGACCACAGGTATTATCTCACTGGCTTCCCTGGCGGTTCAGACGGTAAGGAATCTGCCTGTCACTTGGGGAACCCAGGTTCTGTCCCTGGGTTGGGAAGATCCCCTGGAGAAGGGAAAGGCTACACACTCCAGTATTCTGGCCTGGAGAATTCCATGGACAGAGAAGCCTGGCAGGCTACAATGAGGTCCCAAAGGGCTGCAGTCCATGGGGTCGCAAAGAGCTGGCCACCACTGAGCAGCTGACACTTTCTCTTCACTTCACTTCATTATCTTACTGCCTTTAAAAAATCTTGTATAAGCCAAAATTTATGCTTAGTTTATCTGCTGTGTTGATAAAACTTGATTACTAATGTCTTTTTACTGTTTCTAAAAATTAACTTTACTCTGAAAAGGTGACTATGGGCCACATGGAAAATATTCAGATGAGTTGCCATCATCTCTGAAAGCAAGGAGCTAATTCCATTGGCAAATACCCACTGAGCTTCTGCCCTGTGTAAGATATTGTATTAAGCATGGTAGAAGACAAGATTTCAGGCATGGTTCTTTAAAAAAGAATTATTCTGAATAATAGTTACATTACAGAAATATCTCACACATTCCTTTGTAATATCTTTGGAAAATGGTATGTGGATTCTTGAAAATCTTTAGTGATATAGGCTCATTACCTCCTAACGTAGCCTTTTCTTACTTCATTTTTGGGTAGCTCATTCTCTTAGATTATTTGAAATATGGTTCCCTATAATTTTGAAGTTTTGGCCCTAATTCTCTTCTTGAGACCAAACTGAATCTTTCTACCTTCTTCAGAATTTTAGTTTGAATTATGCATCATATTTGAGTGTAAAAATTCATCTATTCAGCAGATACTCAACTTTTGCATGCTTATAATATAAAAAGCAGTTGTTATCACTTTATAATTATATCTCCTTTAACTCCTGATTTCTATTCATTAACTGTGGAATTTCAAGATTTGGGATTTGTAGACTTATTTTATGGGTAGGTTGCATGCTCCAAAGACAACATACAAGTGATCACAAAGTTGTGTTAGAATAGCACATTTTAGAACTTAAACATGGAGATTCACATATGTATATGTGAATATATATATATATATATATATATGTATATATGTGTAAAATCATCTGTTATGTGCCCTTCAGTATGTTAGCCAGCTACAGGGGATTCAGCTGTGAGCAAAACCACCTACGGTCCCAAGTCCCCACTGAACTTATAGTCTAGTGATAGACACAGACAATCCAATGATTATACAGATAAATGTGAACTGACACTGAGGCAGTTTTTATGACATAGTAGTGTGAGTCCTTGTAATAGAGTTGACCCTGGGAGGACAGGGAAGTCTTCCCAAAAAAGTGATGACATAACTTTTAGGATTGAATTCCAATTAAGTGGCTAAATGGAGAGGAAGATCATTTCCGATTAGTGCAAACGTTATTTGCTAATGAGGGAACATGGAATACAAAGTTCCTTAAGAAGACAGCTCCCTGGAGAAGGGAATGGCACCCCACTCCAGTATTCTTGCCTGGAGAATTCCATGGACAGAGGGGCCTGGCGGGCTGCAGACCATGGGGTTGCAAAGAATGGGACGTGACTGAGCGACTGACACGGGGAAGACAGCTGAGCTGTGGGGGGCAGCGAGGGAAACGGGGCTGTGGTGTGAGATGGGCAGGGAGTGATCAGAACCGTGCAAGCTGATACTTTGATAAGGGATTCTGTATTTATCCTGAAAGCAACAGAAAAACACTGAAGGAGTTTAAGCAGGGAAGTGGTATGATCAAAATTTCCTTTAGAAGAGGTTGCTTTGGGTTAGTATGAAAAATAGATTCTCAGCAAATTCATTCTCAGAATGAATGTGGGCAGAGCAGTTAAAAGGCTATTGCAGTGGCCTTGGGGGGAAATAATGGTGGTGTGGGTGAGGTCATCATGTGGTGGGGAGAGAAGTGGATGTGTTTGTTCCTGTGTATTTAGCTTGAGGAGAGAACACTGACCCGTTTGCTGAGATATTGGGTGTAGATGATCAGAGAGGCTGAATTCTGTTGAGAGGTCAACTCAACCAGGCCAAAGGCCAAAAAAGTCCACTAACTTAATGACTTAGTGGTAATAGGAGTGATCACAGGAAGAATTTCATTGTTATTGAATTGGAGAGAAGAGAAACCAGGTTACAATCGATTGATTAGCAAGTGGAAAGGGAAGAAATGAAGACATGTTGTACGTCAACTCTTGGGAAGAATTTTTAGGTTATTTGAGATTTTTCTTGTTTCTTAGGGTAAGCTTGTATCACTGTAAACTTCCCTCCTAGAACTGCATATTCTGTTTTGGAAAAATTTGTTTTTGTTTTCATTTATTTTTAATCTCTTCAGTGATCCACTAGTTGTTTAGTAGCATATTGTTTAGCCTCCATGTGGGTTTTTTTTTTTTTTTTGGCAGTATTTTCCTTGTAATAGATAAATTGAACTCAAAAGGGATTAAAGACCTAAATGTAAGACTGGATACTATACAACTCCTAGAGGAAAACATAGGCAGAACACTCTGACATAAATCGCGGCAAGATTTTTTTTTTTGATCTGTCCCCTAGAGTAATGGAAAACAAAAGCAAAAACAAACAAATGGAACCTAATTAAACTTAAAAGCTTTTTCAAAGCAAAGGGAGCCACAAACCAAATGAAAAAACAACTTACGGAATGGGATAAAATGTTTGCAAATGATGTAACCACAAGGGATTAAGCTCCAAAATATACAAACAACTTAATACAGCTATATATATAGAACTGTGTGTGTGTGTGTGTGTGTGTGTGTATGTATATATATATATAAAACTACCTAGTCCAAAAATGGGCAGAAGATCTAAATACGCATTTCTCCAAAGAAGACATACAGAAGGACAACAAGGCACATGAGAGGATGCTCAGCATCACTAATCATCAGGGAAATACAAATCAGAACCTTTGAGATATCACCTTACATCTGTCAGAATGGCTGTCATTAAAAAGAACACAAATAAATGTTGGTGAGAAAAGAGGATCCTCGTACACTATTGGTGGGAATGTAAATTGGTGCAGTCACTGTGGGAAACAGTATGGAGGTTTCTCAAACAACAGTGTTTTAATAGGATAGAGATTGATATTTGGTTTACAAGGTTAGCACTACTGACTATTCTAAAAGACTTGGACTTCTAGATGAAAGTCTGCTTAAAAATTTAGATATGTCTAAGAAGTCTTAATGATTGCAGGGTAACCAGTGAAACCTTACATCTAGCACCAAACATTGACAACCTCAGGTTAACCCTGAGAGCTGTCAAACTGTGGACCAAATGTCATAACATCTACTCCAGCATATTAGGTTTCCTTGGTCCTGTCTCCTGGGCTATGCTCATAGCAGGAACTTGCCAGTTTGTCCAAACGCAACAGTATCAACTTTTGTACAGAAATTTTTCTTGGTATTTTCTAAATGGTATGTGTTTAGATTATATTAAAATGAAATTGATTGCAGACACTGAAAAAAGAAAGGAAGTACCCCATGACCCAGCAGTCCCACTCCTGGGTATATATTAAAAAAACCCCAAACTCTAGTTTACAAAGATACAAGCGGCCCAGTGTTCATAGCAGTTCATGGCAGCATTATTTGTGATTGCCAAGGTGTGGAAGCAACCTTAATGTCCGTCAGCAGATGAATGGCTAAAGAGGCGGCAGGCATGTACAATGGAGTACTGCTCAGCCATAAAAAGAGTGAAAATCTGCCATCTGCAGCAAACACTGTACGATATCACTTGTATATGGAATCAAAAAATACAACAAACTAGTGACTGTAAGGATAAAGAAGCAGTTACATGGATATAAAGAACAAGCTGGCCACTGTCAGTGAGGAGCGGGAAGGGGCAGTGTCAGTTGGGGAATTAGGAGAGACAAGCTATTGTGTGAAATGAGCTGCAGGGGTATGTTGTGCAACATTGGGAATATAGCCAATACTTTATAAAATGTACATTGAAACTGTCAAAAAAATTTAAATGACTGCAGATATCTCACATACTAGGCATATTCAATATCTACTGCTTAAGGATGACATAGTAAAAGAAAGGCATCATAGATACTTTTAAATGAATATATATCTTATTCCTCCCAGCAACATCTACATAAATTCTAAAAACAATGTCTATACACACACATATGTATATCCATATACATATGGATATATGTATATGTATGTATATGTATATGTATATATATGTATGTATATGTATAATGAACCATTATATATATTCAGTATATAGACAGTAATTTGTGCAGACTCTTTGCAAAATACTACAAGCCCTTTGTTTCACTGTTGAGTGCCATAATCTATACCGCTCATTTCACACTTAACTTGTGTTATGATGATATTTTGTTGAATTCCCTCTGTTTATCCTACAGAAGCCAGCACTTAATAGAGGCTGAAGGAAGGAAAAAGTGACAGTGGTTTAATGTGTACCATTGATTGCTACTAATCCTTGTATGTTTTTTGTTAATACCTTGCTGTAGGCCTCTTGGGAAATGAAGAGAAAGGGGAATCAAAACCTTCCATGGGAATGTAAGACTTCAGTTGAAGTTGAAACCAACAACAGCAATTTGGATATAATCCAGGTGAGACAAACTTTGCTGACGAAATGATACCTTGAAATTTATTCACATTTGTAAAGATTAGAGGAACCCAAGAGGTAATTCACATTCGTGCCCAAAGTAATGGAAACCTTTAACTGAATCACCTTGCTTTTAGGTGAAGAAACAGGACTCAGAAAACTTCGTTACTTGCCCAAAGCTACATAAATACGTAAAAATACAGTTGGGACTTATGCCTCCTGACCATTAATCTGGAGTGTTTTTCATTTTAGTTGTCAGGGTGAGAAAGCTTTAGTGGTGTTGTTCAGTTGCCCAATTGTGTCCAACTCGTTGTGACCCCATTCTATTGGGTTAATGTATATATGTGTGTAACATTATATATATATATAAACTGTATGTGTATGTATAAACTGGAAGTTCATCTCAAAACCTACCTACACGCCCAAATCCAAAGCATATGAACCTTTCTGTAATTCATAGTGTGATTCTTAGTAGAAAGTATAATTCTAAACTGACTTAAATTAGGACACTTCCAAAAACGCTTCAGAGAGAAGTCTGTCCAAGAAATCTGGACAGGCTTCCCATGTGCTTCTGTATAGATTGTGAGTCCCTGATTCTGAGTTGGTAGTCGGTGTCAAAGACCCGCATGTTCATACCATGGACCCCAGCAGAGGTGGTTCTCCTCCCTGACCCCAGGGTAAAAGTCTTTGGTGTGTACCAGGAGGGCTTCCCAGCTGGCTCAGTGGGAAAGAATCCGCCTGCCAGTGCAGGGAGATGCAGGTTTGGTCCCTGAATCGGGAAGGTCCTCCGGAGGAGGAAGTGGCAGCCCACTCTAGTATTCTTGCTGGGGTAGTCCCATGGACAGAGGAGCCTGGCAGGCTACAGTCCATGGGGTCACAGGGTCCTGCATGATTGAGCAGCTAATCATGCATGTGTGGGAAGAACTGACTCAAGGATTATGAGAAACGCTTTATCTGTGAAGCCATGTTGAAGACTTTGTTACGTTGCAGGGTGCCCCTTGTGTTATATTAATAATAAAAAGGTTCATTTGAATATTAGAATGTAATGTCATGAAAAAAAGTCTATTTGATGCTTTCTTTTATCAGAATATGAATTTTATTACTCACTATAATTCTCTTTGTTCCTTGATTTCCAGGAAGCTTATAACTAAACTTTAATCTAGATAAGAATAACTATTTTTGCCTAGATGATAATTTTTCAACATGATAATGTAAGTGAGAGTATTTAGACAAATGCCTGCCTCATTTTTCATGTCTTTAGGTTCAGTCTTCAGGTAAGTTATCTGAAAATGCAATTGAGGATTATGGATTAAGTTTCAATTACAAATGAGTCAATGGGAAGCACAATGTCTTATGATTTTAGCCTAATTTATGTGCCCTTCAGCAGAAAAACATTGTCACAAGGTACATGATATAACAATATGCCCATCAGCAGATGAATGGATAAGGAAGCTGTGGTACATATACACCATGGAATATTACTCAGCCATTAAAAAGAATTCATTTGAATCAGTTCTAATGAGATGGATGAAACTGGAGCCCATTATACAGAGTGAAGTAAGCCAGAAAGATAAAGACCAATACAGTATACTAACACATATATATGGAATTTAGAAAGATGGTAATGATAACCCTATATGCAAAACAGAAAAAGAGACACAGATGTGCAGAACAGACTTTTGGACTCTGTGGGAGAAGGCGAGGGTGGGATGTTCTGAGAGAATAGCATTGAAACAAGTATACTATCAAGGGTGAAACAGATTGCCAGCCCAGGTTGGATGCATGAGACAAGTGCTCAGGGCTGGTGCACTGGGAAGACCCAGAGGGATCAGATGGGGAGGGAGGCAGGAGGGGGGATCAGGATGGGAAACACATGTAAATCCATGGCTGATTCATGTCAATGTATGGCAAAAACCACTACAATTTTGTAAAGTAGTTAGCCTCCAACTAATTAAAAAAAAAATAATGGAGGTTTATTTTAAAAAGGTTCCAAGATGGAACATTTCAAACAGCACAGTCAACCCCTGTGTGCCCATTTCCTAGTTCCATTCCAACAGTTATCGATTTGTGATTGATTTTGTTTCACTGTATCCTCTCCCTCCCTGGCCACCCCCTTTTCTCCCAAACATCATATCATTTCCTCCATAATTATAATTGTTTTAAGAAGGTATCTGAAAGGATGTTGAAAAACTCTAAAAGTGATTTATGAATGAGAAAAGAAAAAAAGACCCTTCATATTGACAGTAAGGAACAATTAAATATAGGATGTGAAGGAAGTGAGCACCAACATATTTTCAAAAGGAAAAGGGTCAACATTTAATCAGAGGCCAGAAAAGAAGAGAGGACTATATAACTAGTGTTGTGAATAACTCAGCCTCTGTACCTCTTTGAAGCCAAAGATGATAGAACTGTGCCTTGGCATATTACTAGTCCCCACCTGCTTTGCAGAATCTTCGAAGTCTGTGTGTGTTTTTCATGTAGCCATTGCTTTGTCCCTCCTCTGTCCTCTGCATGCAGCTTTTAGCAAGTGCTTTTTCACAAATTAAGTATGACATTTACGTTAAAATTGTTGTTGTCTTTTTATGTAGTATTTCTCAAGTTCCTGTGTTACTTGCATGAATGTGTGAGGTATGATTGATTTGTGTCCCTGTGATCCTAGCAGGAAGTCTGTTTTCAAATTCATGGTATCTAATTAATCTGGATAAATACTATACATTATCCAGAGATGCCCATTAATTTTTCTGTTTGGCTGTGGTTGCAGCAATTCAAGTAGGAAATAATTGCTTCTGCATGTTTGTCTGCCTGTACTTCCTTAAACTTAGAAATTAAAAAAGATTGTTCTTACCCCCTGGGCTCCTCCCCAGTTATCTTCTAACTGTGATGCTTGTGTGTGTGTGTGAGGGTGTGTGTGTGTGTGCGTGCGCACGGGCATGCACGTGAGCTTTAATTCTGACTGTGCATCTGTCAAATTTCAAGAAAGAGGGCACGCAGGGCTGCATTGGGTTATCACTTAAGGAAGAGTGGTTGGCTACCCACCACTTGCCACAGTTAGGTGGTTTTTATTATTTTGGTGAACTTACTGCAGCTAGGGTCTTATTTTCAGCTGTCATGCTGTTGTTCAGTCACTAAGTCATATCCTTCTCTTTGTGATTCCATGGACTGTGGCATGCCAGGCTTCCCTGTCCTTCACCATCTCCTGGACTTTGCTCAAACTCATGTCTTTTGAGTCAGTGATACCATCCAACCATCTCGTCCTCTGTCATCCCCTTCTCCTCCTGTCCTCAGTCTTTCCCAGCATCAGGTTCTTTTCCAATGAGTCAGCTCTTCACATCAAGAGGCCAAAGTATTGGAGCTTCAGCATCAGTCCTTCTAATGACCATTCAGGGTTGATTTCCTTTAGGATTAACTGTTTTGCTATCCTTGCTGTCCGTGGGACTCTTCAGCACCACAATTTGAAAGCATCAGGTGTCATAGGCTCTAAAATATATCTTTGGCTCACCAAAGAAAGTCTTATCTCACAGAAACGATTTCACATTATCCAAACTCATGAGACTGTTGTATACTATCATAGCAGCCATTTAGTCATTGGAGAGATAAACCCAGCCTTAGTCCAACTGGAAGACGCATTCTGACTTCCGCCGTGTGTTTTCTCCCTTTAAGCCAGTCTGCGTGGGTTGGCCAGCACAGTCTGACAGTGCCGGTGAGCTGTGCACCTGAATATTTAAAGAGTTTCCAGCTAAGACATCCTGCTGTGTCCCTTCCCTGCCCAGGATGAGTGGGATGGTGTTACCAGTTGTAATGGTAACATTGGAAGGGCCCTGACCTGGGACCCTCATCCTGTGTTCTTCCAATGTGTGGGTTTTTTTTCACATTACACGGAGAACATCTCTCTTCTTCTTTTTTTTTTTTGTACCCAACAGTAGGCTTTATGTCCACTCTTTTTTAATATTTATTGAAGTATTTATTGACTGACAGCATGACATTAGTTTACGGTATATAACATAGTGATTCGCCAGTTTTGTAGATCGTGTACAGTACAAAGCTTGATAAAACATGGAATGTGTCCCTTGAGCTATACCCTATGTTTGGTAGCTTATTGGCTTTATCACTGCTAATTTGTATCTCTTAATCTCCTTCACTATTTCACCCCTCCTCCCACCTGCTTTCCTCTGGCAATCCCGGTTTGTTCTTGTATCTGTGAATCTGTTTCTGTTCTGTTACATTTGTTCAAATGAATGACCTGCTCATGGTTACAGCAGTTTGATCTGTTTTCCTAACTTCTTCCTTCTCCTACTCCCCTGAATCCTTGATTGAATGCTTTTTATATTTCTTTTATCCAAGGCCTATAGTCTCTGGAGGCTATTTAAAAAAATATTCTTTCTCAGTGGGATAATCCTTGTTTTCGAGTCATTTTTGATGTCTGCATATCATGCGTATCACATTGCACATGCTCCCAAAGCATGAATGCATGTGTATGCTTACATATAAATGAAGGCATACAGCACTTGCCTTTATCTGACTTATTTCACTAAGCATAATGACCTTCATGGGCATCCAGGTTGTCACAAATGGCAAGATTTCATTCTACCTTGTGGCTGAGTAATATTCCACTGTACATATACCACATCTTTATCCGTTTATCTGTCATTGTACACTTAGGTTGCTTCAGTATCTTGGCTATTATAAATAATACTGAGAACATCTTTATTCTGATCAGCACATTCTTTCTTTTGTGTGTTGTTAATGTCTGTCAGTCTGCCTTTGGAAAGGTTTTTCTCTTTTTTTCCATATTAGGGTTCTTCATTTTCCTCTCTTCCAAGTTTCAGACACATGTTACTCTGGCTCTTGTACCAACAATTGTGCAATTTCAAGTGAAATGATAAAACTATTGATTTTCAGATTGATATTGAATCCAACCATTGCTGATTATCTCAGTTATATTGTCATAATCTCCAACGTCACCTCATTTGCTGGGCTCAAGGTTACAGCAGTTTGATCTGTTTC